GGGTGTAGGTACGGGTGATGCTGGTCAGGCGAGTTAGCGTGGGGTGTAGGTATGGGTGACGCTGGTCAGTAGTGTTAGTGCGGGGTGAAGGTAAAACTAGGCAACAAGGCGCTAGGTTCTGGTGGGCACCCAGGGGCTGGATATCCCTTGGTCGGGACGTGGAGGCTGGCATAGGCCAGAGGACAGCGCTGGAGGGGCACCAGGCTGGTGGCGGTGAGGAGCTGATGCCCGCCGGCCCAGGCTGCAGGCAGGGTAAGGGGGGTGCTCGGGAGTCTCCTCTCCTCCGGAGGGCTAGGCTCCTGGCCCGCGGTGGGTGGAAAGGCGCCAGGTGAGGAGGGCAGTGGGGACATGCACGCAGGAATTACTACACCGGCTGTTTAGCCTAGACAGCCTCAGCCCCGTTCTCAGGCCGTGTCTGCACTGTGGGTGCCAGAGGAACTGTAGCGCAGACACGGACTGCACCAGCGGCGGGGGGTCTGGCGCTGTCATTCCAGCCCCCCGAGCGGCGGCAGAACACGTCTGCTGACGGAGCTGGATCCACACACCAGGAGTCCGGGTGGGTTAGCTCGGGGGGAGGGGGATTCTCACACTGTAGCTATGTCTGACCAGGCCGCAGCCGGTTCTTGGGCTGAGCGGGTACGTTGTAGGGGGAGCTCCTGGGGGAAGCTGAGCGATGGGGGGTGCAGCGTGGGTCTCTGGGGCTTTCCTGTACGGGCCCCGCAGGGCTGGCTCTGGCCTGAGCGAGGGTCCAGCAAAGAGGTGCCAAGGGAGGGAAGAAGGGTGCTGGGGAGGTGCGCCAATGGGCCTGCTTCTGCCCTGGAATCCTGGGTTTTGGCCATGATGCCACGTTCTGTGCAGTGATGGCGGGGCCCTGCCCCCACCTCAGGGCATTAGGTGCCCATCCCTCCGCAGCTCCAGAGGGCCCAGCCCTCCTGAGACGCCCACCCCCTTTGGAGCTGGGCCCCGGCAGAACCCCGTGCTCCATCCCCCGGCCTGGGGGAGCCCGGGCAGCCGAGCCAGAGATGCCCCCGGACACTCATTTACCACACCAGTTTATTTGAAATCCAACGTAACACAGATGCAGGTTTGCACAGCAGGTGACTGGGCAGACAGGCAATACGAACAGGGAGACGGGCAAGGCAGCAGCGGTTGTGTGGCATTCTCATCAAAACGGCAGGACCTACCCGGCGGTGGTGCTGGAACCCACGGGGGGCGGGCACTGAACCTCCAGGCCCGGGGCCCGCACCCCCAGCAGCAGGCCAAGTGCCCTGCGCTGCAGTCAGGGAGGGGCTCCTGGTGGGTGACCAGAAGGGGAAAAAGAACATTCCCAGATCTCAGTGTGGAGCCTGGGGGCTCCCGCTCCCCCCAGCACATCCCTGCTCTGGGATCCTGCCAGCCCCCAGGCTAAGGAGCTCAGCAGAGTGCGGACTCCGCACCCCCTGCCCCGGGCATGGCAGGCGGGGGCGGTGCGCCGGGAAAGCCACATTTGCAGCGTAGTCGTCGTTTTTGACAACGTGAAGTGAGACCAATAAATAAACGCGACATCCCAGTGCCTGCGAGGCCGGGGCAAGGCCAAGCCTCATGCGGTGCAGGACGCTCCTGGAGCCCGCACGCTTCCCAGGCCATGACAACCGGATGCCCGTGACCACAACAGGCAAAGTGCAAGTCAACTCCATCCCGGGGCAATATACAAAGGGATCGGGCTGTAGCTATAATACAGGGGCCAGGCGGGGCGGCGCGGGGGCGGGAGCCTCCCGGGGAAGGCTGCAGCACTCACACCAAAGGTGACAACTGAAATAAATAAGGGGGATGAGGTGGTGAGGGGCCCGAAGGGCCGGGGCAGGGGGCCAGGGCCCTTCCCCCCCCCGGCAGCCCCATGCGTATTTACAAGTCGGTTCTCCTCTCTAGGCCTTTGTTGGAGTCCGTGGGGTCCCAGGATCTGCGGCTGGACAGAAAGCACTGGGGTGGTGGGCTGGTTGGTTGAAACTGTTATAATGTGTGATAGTGCAGGCCGCGGCTGTACCCGCAAACCCTCCAGTGTCTATGTCAGGCCGAGCACGGCCGGGCGGCGTCACGGGATGCAGGAGGGCTCAGAGCTAGTATTCGTCCTGGTCCTCCGGCTGCTGGTCCTCCACCTCCTCATCCTCCGGAGGCGCAAAGCCTTCCTGTGGGGGGCACAGAGACGGCGTGAGCCTCCCGGGCCACGGAAACCCCCCGCAGAGATTCCCACCAGAGAGAACTCAGCCCCAGCCGCTCCCAGCGCCAGGGGCACGGCTCCGACCGGCCTCCCCGGGAGCCGCCCGCGCTCAGTGCCCAGCGGGCAGGCGCTGAGGAGACACCCGCACAACGGAATGGCGCCAGGCACAAAGATCTGCCCTAGCACCAGCTGAGCGTGAGCCCCAGACCCCGCCCGGGGCAGGGCCGAGAGACAACCGCCTCCCCCAGACGCTCAGCAGCGGGAGACGCCGCCCGTGGAGCCCGTGTGGGCACTGACCTCGGTGGCATACAGGATGCCGATGATGCCAGAGATGACGGGGCTGTTCTCGCTCTCATGCTCCTGGCAGATCAGCTCGATGTCCCGCAGTTTGCTGAAGTAGAAATCGCGCTCCTTCTCCAGCCCGTCCACCGTCAGCTTCAGGTCCATGAGCTGGGCAGGGAGAGGGGCTGTTACCGGCGCCCGGCGGGACCCGACATCTGCGTCCCCTAGCGCCCCACGGACCCGGTGCCTGTGCCCCCCAGCGCCCCGCGGGACCCACCTTCTGTGTCCCTCAGAGCCCCACGGACCCAGCGCCTGTGCCCCCCTGGACTCCCTCAGCGGGACTGGTGCCTGTGCCCCCCCAGTACCCCTTATGGGGCTTGGTGTCTGTGCCCCTCGTGGGACCTGGCACCTGGGCTCCCCAGCGCCCCCCGTGGGACTGGAGTTTGTGCCCCTGGAGCAGCCCCACCCTCCGGCCCCTGCCCACCTGCTGGTTGAGCTCCAGGATTTGGGTGTCGGCCTCACTGCCCCCGTTGCGGGCAGCAGGCGGGTTTTTCCGGGTGATGTTGCTGGGGATGACGTTGGTCACTCGGGTTGGCACTGGCATCGTCTTCGGGGTTGTGGGGGAGGTTCTCTGGGGGGCTGGAGAGAGCCGCCCGAGACAGCCAGAGGTTAGCACGGGTCCCGGCGCGGCCCCCCACCACCCAGGCACAGCTTGCTCCCAGAGCCTCTGCCCTCCCCTGCGGGGTGCGGGCCACGGGCATGCGGGGTGCGGGGGCAGCGGGTCAGGCAGGCGCTAGCCAGGGGTCACATAGGGCTGCGCTGGGCAGGGGGTTGCAGACACAGACCATGGTGCAGGGTGGCGCTGCTCAGAGCACAGGACTGGGTTCCATGCCCTAAGTCCTGGGTCTTCCCTGCCTCAGTTTCCCCACATGGGAGAACAAGGTCTCCCCCATGGTGGTGCGGGCTGCGGGGGGCTGTTCATTAGCAATTGTGGGGGACAGGGAAGGGCAGGGCACAAGAATGCCTGTGGGGCAGCCCCATGGCCCTGGGGGCAGCGGGGTACGGATGTTGCCCCCTGGAACTGGCGCTCCCCCCTGCCAGGCGTATGCTGGGGAGGTGCCACGCACAGCCACGCACCTGCCCCAGCTCGGTGCCTCCCCCGTAGCCCCCAGAGCTCAGCAGGCTCCTCCCCTGCTGCGCCCCCCACCCTGCCCCAGCTCAGCGGGCCTCTCCTCAAGCCAGCCCCCACTCGCTGCGCTCCGGGGAACCCGCCTGCCCCCAGAGCCTGGGCAGCGGGTCTCTGCCTCTCTCCAGCTTCCCACGGCTGAGCTCCACACAGGGGAGGGGCGGCTGAGCCCCCCCCACTGCTGACACGGCAATGCTGCAGGGCCTTTGCCAGGCCGGTGCTCACTCCCAGCGGTGGGGCGGGGCAGATCCGCAGCAGGAGGAACTCCCCATCCCGCCCCCCTTCGCCGGCCCCCCGCCCCATCCCTCACCCCCACGCTGGCCTCCCGCCCGCTCGCTACCCTCCCCTCGCTGTCCCCCCAATCCTGCCTCCCCATGCTGGCCTCCCGCCCCCTCACCACCCATCCTCTCGCTCTCCCCCCATCCTGCCCGCCTCACCGACCGAATCCATCACTGCCCCCCACCTCTGTCCCGCCCCCCTTACTGCCAACCCCCACCTCACACCCCGTTTTCCAGCCCTCTGCCCTCCAGCCCATCACCTGCCCCCCCGACGCCCCCTGCCCCCAACCCATCGCCTGCCCCCCTCGCCGCCCCCTGCCCCCAGCCCATCGTCCTGCACCCCCTCGCCGCCCCCTGCCCCCAGCCCATCGTCCTGCACCCCCTCGCCGTCCCCTGCCCCCAGCCCATTGCCGGCACCCCCCTCGATGCCCCCCTGCCCCCAGCCCATCGTCCTGCACCCCCCTCGCCACCCCTGCCCCCTCTCGCCGCCCCCTGCCCCCCAGCCCATCACCCTGCACCCCCCTCGCTGCCCCCTGCCCTGACGGGACACGTGGCCCCAAGCAGCAGGAGGAGCTGAAAGGAGCCGCAGCCATGTGCCCGCCCAGCTGCTCCCTGACCTGCCGTTCGGAGCCGGGCCGGGCTCACTCCGCAGGCGTCTGCCCCCAGCGCTCAGCGCGGCCACGCCAGGGCTCCCAGTGCGGGGACACAACGGGCTGTGCCAGGTCCCACGGGGGAGCCAGAGCCAGGCTGGGCAGGACTGAGATGGGGACGGGAGAGGGAAAGGAGAACACCCTCTGTGTTTGAGTGCCAGCCTGAGCCAGCCATGCCCTGCCCGCGGCCAGGCTGACCCACGGCCGGAGGCTGGCGTGGGAGGCCAGGGCCGTGGGCTGCTGTGGGCAGGGCAGGGTCCTCAGGGAGGGCGGGCGCTTGGGGGAGGTGCCACGCAGGGAGGCAGGGAACTGGTGGGACTCTGCATCGCGCTGGGGAGGGGCCTGCGGGAAGAGGATGCGCCCGCGTGGGCAATGGGCCCTGCCATGGGGCACCCCACGCCCCGGGCCGAGGCAGCCCCCAGCGCAGAATCGCTCCGGGTCTGCCTGCCAGGACCCAGGCCAGGTCTAGGGAGCAGATCAGGGTCCCAGCGTGCTCAGCAGCCAATCCCTTCACTGGGGCCGGGCACAGCTGGACCGTGTCCTCCCGTGGCTGCCGGCGGGCACTGGGGGGCCAAACACGGAGGTAGCCCCAGCTCTGCACTCACCCCGCTCCCAGCGCTGCCCCATCCCCTCCAAACCTACTTGGCACTGGTGGTCGGGCACTCCCAAGCCAACAACACAATGCACGCAGCACCACGCCACCCAGGGGCAGGGCCCGACTGGCACCAGGGGCTGGGGCAGGCAGCCGAAGGCCATGCTAGCAAGCTGGGCGACCCAGGCGGAGTCGGGATCCTGCAGGCGCAGGGGCAGGGGTGCCAGCTGCCTCCAGGGGTCGGCGACATTACCTGCAGTGCCAATGGGTTTCTTGGGTTTGTTGAAGTTCTGATCACCTGGGTTTGGAGACGGTGCCACCTCCTGCCCTTGCCGCGCCAGCAGCGGGTTGTAATCCTTCCCGTCGTAGTTGGCATCAAAGAATTTCTTAAACCACTGAATAAACTCAAAGTTATCCTGGAACTTCCCTTTCACCAGCTTCTCCACAGCGATGATCTGGAACGACAGGCAGTGCGTGAGGGGCTGACAGGCCCGTGCTCCCCCACTGCGCCCGGGGGCAGTGCCGGGGCAGCTCCTGCAGGTCAACTGGCATTTGCCCACAACCACGGCTGCTGAGAGACTTTGGGGTAATGCCAATTCCTATTGGCTCCCTGGGCCCGTCTGTCAGTCCAAAGCATCGGTGGGGGCAGCGGGTGCTGGTGGGGGCTGCTGGCAGCACAGGGAGGTGCTGGCGAGGGGTGGCTGGCAGGCACGTGGGAGAGGTACTGGCAGGAATGTAGGGGTGTTGGCGGGCACAGGGGGTGCTGGCAGGGGGTGGCTGGCAGGCATGCGGGGGGTGCTGGCAGGCATGGGGAATCTTGCAGGGGGTGGTTGGTGGGCATGCGGCGCTCTTGGCGGAGGGGTGACTGGTAAGTGTGAGGGGCTGCTGGCTGGCACAGAGCGAGGCTGGTGGGCACAAGGGGTGACTGGCAGAGGAAGGCTGGCAGGCAGGCACGCACAGGGGTTCTGGCGGGGGGTGGCTGGCAGGTATGGGGGAGGCTGGCAGAGGGTGGCTGGCAGGTACAGGGGAGGCTGGCAGGCACACACGGGGTACTGGTGGGCACAAGGGGTGGCAGGCATGGGGAGGCTGGCAGGCACACACGGGGTACTGGTGGGCACAAGGGGTGGCTGGCAGGCACAGGGAGGCTGGCAGGTACGAGGAGGCTGGCAGGCACACACAGGGTACTGGTGGGCACAAGGGGTGACTGGCAGGCATGGGGGAGGCTGGCAGAGTGTGGCTGGCAGGTACAGGGGAGGCTGGCAGGCACACACGGGGTGCTGGTGGGCACAAGGGGTGGCTGGCAGAGGGAGGCTGGCAGGTATGGGGGAGGCTGGCAGAGGGTGGCTGGCAGGCACGGGGAGGCTGGCAGAGGGAGGCTGGCAGGTACGGGGAGGCTGGCAGAGGGAGGCTGGCAGGCAGGCACGCACAGGGGTTCTGGTGGGGGGTGGCTGGCAGGTACGGGGGGGAGGCTGGTTGTCACGGGGTGGGGGGGAGGCTGGTGCTTCTGCCTTGTCCATACTCGCCTCAGGCTTCCAGCTGGGCTCCCCACCCCCCGATGTCTGACACCGGGGTCCCCACATTCCAGGGGCGACTGACCCCCGGCACGCGGCTCAGCACCTGGCAGGGCAGTCAGGAGAGGGGGCCCAGCCCCCGCCAAGCCGTATGGCACCCAAGTGACTGGGGCAGAGGGTGAGCAGTCCAGGCCCTCAGGCCAGTCCAGCCGGCTGGGTCCCCCGGGTGCCGACCCCCAAGGTGGATGGGGGGAAAGGGACCCACCTTGTCCACCCCCATCTTCTTGAAGGCGGCCTGCAGCACCTTGAAGTTGTGGATGAATTCGTGCTCCAGCTTGGCCTGGAACTTCACCTTCCGCAGGTGCACGCAGCCCGGGAACAGCATGTCCATGAACTGGCAGTAGGCAGCACCTGCGGGCACAGGGCTGCCAACTTTCTAATTGCACAATACCAACCCCCCCCCGCCCCGCCCCTTCTCTGGGGCCCCGCCCCTGCTCACTCCTTCCCCCTCCCTCCATTGCTCGCTCTCCCCCACCCTCACTCACTTTCACTGGGCTGGGGCAGGGGGTGGGGGTGCAGGACGGGGGGCTCTGGGGCTGGGGCGTT